CTCCAGATTAACTATTACAGAAAATCTTCACCCAGCACTTGGTGGCGCCTGTTCCTCTTGCGCTTTCTTGAGGATGACACATCATCTCCCTGAAACTGTTTGATCTCTTGGGACCAAGATACAAGGCCTTGTCTTGTTGTTATTATTACCAGTAGGTATTGTTTACATGCATAAACCCGTACCTTTACACATGTAATTTATACATTAAAAACCCTCTCCATCTCTTTATCTCAACCCAGGTGTCTCTAAGTCCTGTTTCCTGTCGTGATCTGAGCTTCCCATCATTCTCTCGGCCTCAGCTCTTCCTACTTTGTATCAGAGTAGTCACAATGTGACTGTTTAAAAGCTGCTCACTTTTATGACTCCAAGGAGAAGGAAAGTGAAAAAACCAAAAATCTATAGGAGGAAAAACAGGCCAGGGTAGAACTTCTGCAGAAATTAACAGTTAGAAGAACACAGACTATAAACTTTAAAGATACATTGATACTGAGATACACAGATATAGTATCATCCATCATTGGTTTGAAATACCTAGAATGCTGTCAACGTTCTAAGACTTTTTTTTTTTTTTAATTAGAGTCTCACTCTGTCGCCTAGGCTGGAGTGCAGTGGCACACTCATGACCACCCCAGTGTCAACCTGCTGAGCTCGGGCGATCCTTCTGCCTTAGCCTTCCAAGTAGCTGGAACTGTAGACACGCGCTACTACGCCCGACTGACTTTTGATTTACTGTAGAGACAAGTCTCGACAAGTTGTCCAGGCTGGTCTCAAACCCGCAGTCTCAGGCAATCCACTTGCCTCGGCCTTCCAAAGTGCTGGGATTACAGGCTGAGTCACCGAACCTGGCCTAAAGTTCTAAGACTTTACAACTGAAATTCTTTCCTTAAATTAGTTTGGAACAAGGATCCCAGTCAGAAAAAAACTATTCTAGAAAATTTCATTTACGTTCACATTTGTCAGTGTACTGTTTTTCCACAAAATGCATATTTATCACAGGCATTGTTAATTTGCCACCCCAGCAGGGTTCTCCTCCCGGTGGGGGGGGGGTTGCAGCCTGAAGGCCTATGGTATTCTAAGGGGAGGGACTGTATTCGCTTGATGGAAGTGGTGAAAGTGTAAGTAGAGACTTGTGGGTGGGGAACCAAATATCCCCGGGTGCTCATCTTCCTCTCACTTCACCTGACGCAGACTTGACTCCCCCAAGTCTCTGCACTCAGTGTTTCCTCAGGTAGTGCCAACAACCTCCAAGACCAGCTGTCTGCTTCCTCTTTCCGGCACCCTTGTGTGTCGTCGGTGATAACCCCATTTGAACGGCGAACCCTTCCTACGTTGTTCATGAAGTCTTCTGGATCATTCCCCGTAGGCTTTCTCTTTTCTCAGCAGCCCTTCTGTCATCTCCCAGTTATGACTGTGTCTTGGCTGATTAGATAGTAACTTCCTCATTGTTTTTCCTCTCCACTGTCTTGCCCTTCGATGGTCTTGAACACATGGGAGTGTTGGATGAAGACCCTTTCCTAGACAATGGCCAGTTTTGTTTCTGTATCTTTTCATGTGGGTAATGATTTAGCTCTTTGGCATATTATGATCATCAGAATCGAGTCATACATTCTTCAGTGTCCATAGTATATCTTGTCGATTAGAGTTCTGAATTGGAACATCTAATATCTGAGATTTAAGATTTAATGTCTTTTTACCCTCAGTCCCCTGTGATTGCCTAGTGCTGCTCTAAGCTAATGACTAGTCACATCCTGGACACCCTAGCCTTGGAAACTAGGACATCTGCCTCAAGCCTGTCGTGGCCAAGTTGCTAACATCAAGAGACAGTTTCAGCTTCGTACAGCATGGATATATAGGGTCAGAGAGGCAAATATTTAAATTCATCTTAAATCCTTTCATTTGAAATTTTAGTAGGTCATTTGGTATACTGATAGACCGAGTATACTGATAGACCGAGTTTGGAAGGGGGCTGGCAGCATTAAACCAGAATATTTTAAGTACTTCTAATGCCTTCATACTTTTTTCTTTTGTGTAATCAAACCCGTTAATAGACTTAAAACTCAAGGAAGAAAAAATGGTTGTAATTTTAAATAAGCATTCAATTATAACTAAAAGGCATTTTTTATCCGTTACCATAGTTACCAAGCAGCTTTTCTGTGGGCTCCATCATTCAGAGTGATTCTGGAAAGTGCTTTTGGGGAAAGGGGGGAGAAGGGGTCCCCCTACCCCAGAAGCAGGAAACCTGACTGGCAGAACTTTTTTTGACACAGTTTTACAGAGTCCCCCACTAAACAGTAACTGTATTTGTGAGTGGGAGATGTTTTTTAACTCTCTTATAAAGTTAGCCAGCTTCACTGAGTATCAGAATTGTACTCAAACTTTGGGAGTCTCCTGCTACAGTTTACAGGGGGTCCTGCTATATTTGTTCAGGATTTTAAAACTATTTAAATAAAAGTAAATGTTGAGCTGGATGTCGTGGCTCATGTCTGTAATCCCAGCACTTTGGGAGGTGGAGATGAGAGGATTGCCTGAGCCTGGGCAACTTGGTAAGACCTCACCTGTACAATAAATCAAAAAATCATCCAGGTGTGGTGGCGCACGCTCCAGCTACTAGGAAGGCTGAGGCGGAAGGATCACCTGAGCCCAGCAGGTCAAGGCTGTGGTGGCCGGGAGCGGCCAGTCTGGGCAACAGAGTGAGACTCCAACTCAAAAAAAAAAAAAGTATTTGTTAGACATTTCCTGTATTTGTAAACACCAACTGTATCTCAAAAGATTGAAATCAAGCAAATAAAGATGAAGTCAAATTTTAAAATCTAAGGACTGGAAATGGCAGTTTCTGTGTTGGAAAGAGAATGTGTCTGTCTCTGTACTGGGCCTTTGGTTTTTGTATTGGACATGATGGAGAGTTTTGATACTATTTCATGGGGTTGGCCGGGCACACTGGCTCATGCCTATAATTCTAGCACTTTGGGAAGCCGAGGTGAGAGGATTGCCTGAGCGCACGGGTTTGAGACCAGCCTGGGCAACTTGGTAAGACCTCATCTCTACAGTCAGTCAAAAAATTAGCCAGGCATAGTGGTGCATGCCTGTGGTTCCAGCTACTTGGAAGACTGAGGCAGGAGGATCACTTGAGCCCCGCAGGTTGAGTCTGCGGTGGCCGGGAGTGTGCCACTGTACTCCACTTGTAGACTCGTTCTTCTTCCCTAGAATGCCCTGAGATGGAGCCATCTTCTTTTCTATCCCTACACAGCACCCCTCCCTCTTAAACCCCAAGTCCCTCTCCATGTCCCTGCCTTCTTAGTCCCTATCTTCTCTGTGACCACAACCCTCTCCACGACTGCTGGACCCGGACCCTGTTCCGTGGTGTGTTTTGGTAGGGTCTAAGGAAAGGCCTGCAGCACTTAGAGCCTGCAGGAAGTTTATTGTTACCAAACTTGAAAAAGTTGTTTAGTAACACATACAAATGCGAAAAACACGTTAAAATTCATTAAGAGCATTTAACACTGTATTTGGATAATCACTGTTCATAACTACTGTTTCACCATAGAATCTTCATAAGACAGTTTAAAGGCCGATGGACATTTTTGGTTTGGAAAGGCCTTTCTGTTGGCAGTTCTCATTCTGCAGCTTAGAACATTCTTGGCGTGTGCTAGCCCACACTGTCCCAACGATGGGAGTTTTCTCTTTCCAGTTACATCCAGTAGGCAAAGCTGTAGCTAATATGAAACCTTCAGGGACTGGCTCAGTGATTGTTCAGGGAGGAAGGGGTCAGGCCAGGTGACGCTCATGAGACATGCTGCTGGCTTCCAAGCCCGTCAGGCCCTGAGGCTGAGCACATCTTTAGTCATTCTCACTTTCTTTTCTTGTCCACAAAGTCTCATGTCATCATAGGCAATTGTTTTTCCTCTACAGTAAAAACAAAAACTCTTTCCCATCCTTATATGGCACAAGCCATTTTTAAGGCGGTATACAGCCACAAGCATTTAGAAGTTAAGTTCTCCTAAGAGAAAACGATAACCTTGATGGGTTTTAAAAAGCAGGGTTCCTTTTGAAAAGCAGTGGTATAGCCCACACTCCCTAAACTGCTGTAGAGTCTATGATGTCCTGAGTAGAAATCCGTACGATTTCTGGTCAGTCAGGAAGAGATCTTGCATTTCCTAGACCATGGTCTTGGTCAGCATTTCTGTGTGTGCGTTTACTGTTTTGACCCCATTTCTCCCTTTGTCTTTACTTTCAGCATTTTTCCTTGGTTATTTAAATGTGTCCTTGTGAGTAGCCATGAGTCCATTTTGGTGATAAGGCTGGGTATAGTCTCTTATCTGATATGCCTGGAAAGTTTTATCTTCTGACAATTAAAGACTCTCCACAGCTGGTAGCAGCTTAAACACTCTGAGACAGTAACATTTTTTGGTGGTTCTCATTTTCAGTTTCAGTCCTGCCTGTGCTTTCTGGGGCATTTAAAGTTGTTACCAGAAAGTTATGTGGCTATGCAAACTACACTCATGAATTCAGTCCAGCTGATTAATCAGTGTCTACCAAAGTAAGCAGTGTCCTAATTGATTCCCTTTCTGGGTTTGGCACTAAATGGTCCCTGGGGGCCCGTCTGCCATCTTGCTGTGTTTTGAAGCTGCTGCTGCAGCTTATTTTTTTACTCATTCAGAAGCTAACGAAAAGATTCTAATCTGCCTATTGACTTTAATGATTATTTGGATTGATTTTAAAAGGTTGTTGTAAAACTGCATTTTAAAATTAAGTGATTATCAAGTACAGGTCTGGTGGATAGCATTGTAGAACAGATGCAGCCACTGTGATTTCTCTGAGTCATCTCAAACCCAAAATATAGCATCTTACACCGCTGGAGAAGGTGAAAGTGAAGTGGGCGGAAACGGAAGTATTTTTGAAAATGATGCTCTGGATAGCTCTTCCCACGCTCCACCCCACCCCTGATTTACAAAGTTAAACATGGTGTGCCACAGAAGGATATATGTTTGCTTGCAATGCAGGTGGATGTGGGCGTGGTGCATTTTACCCCTTTGGTCCAGCCCAAGATAGAGCAGCCCTTCAAGCTGGTAGAGAAAGTCGTTCAGAATGTGTTTCAGTTCCGAAGGAAGTACTGCCATCGCGGGCTCGGGTAAGAATGCCTTCTCTTCCTTTCAGCAGGAGTCCTCCCCAAGCCCTCGGTCACTTTAAAGATTAAGACTTTGCACGATTCTTCAAGCTTTCTGTGAACATTACACTCGTTTAAGTCTTCTAATGAACAAAGCCTGATGCCACTGAGGAAAAGCAAAGCCTCAGGTGACACTTGCAGGTTGGTTTTATCATAAGCATTATCCAAAACTGGCACTTGCCTGGGAGGTCAAGGTCATCATTAACTTGTACCCAGGTAATAGTGGGGTTTTTTTAATGCTCTCTTTCTACTGAGTTGCTGGATCTCTTCTTTAAGGACACACTTGAAAACTAGGAAGCAAATGTAACTCTGAGCAGCTGAAGTTGTGTCATCTTCAAGCACGTTGTCATCTAGGGGACAGCTGCTGCTTCCAGCGGACACCCAACCACCTCAGGAAAACAAGGTGGAGCCTAGTGATCTAGAGCCTGCCTGCCTCGATGAGCCCTGAAGTGACCACAGCAATCTTTTATGTCCAGTGAGAGCAAACTGTTGGCCCAGTTGTAGTCTAAGGTGGGATGGTAGTAAAAGATTTCCATCTAACATAGCTGATGCTTAGCTGTTCAGAGGTGCTTAGCTTTATAGGCACATATTTCTCATTTTCTAAAACTTCCTTATAAAGCTTCATTTTGATTCTTTTTTCCGGTGGTGTGAAGTGTCCTTTAAAACATGCAGTTAGCCAGGCTCGGTGGCTCAGCCTGTAATCCCGCGCCTTTGGGAGGCTGAGGTGAGTGGATTGCCTGAGCCCGCAGGCTCAAGACCTGCCTGGGCAGCGAGACCTCATCTCTACAATAAATCAAAAAATCAGCCGGGCGTGGTAGCACATGCCTGTAATTCCGGCTACTCAGAAGGCTGGGGCGAGGCCGCAGTGGCCGGGAGTGGCCACTGCACTCCAATCTGGGTGACGGAGTGAGACTCCAACTCAAAAAAAAATTAAAAAAACATGCAGTGATTTCTGATCCAGCTAGGGGAAACAATTGCAGTTCACAAAACCCGCTCTTCAGGCCTTCAGATGGTTAATGGCAGATCCTCAGCCTGCCCTTCGTGAACTCTAATAAGCCAGTATAGTTCCTGCTTCTTTAGCAGAGATTTAAGGCACAGAGCTGGTGACAGGGATGCCACTAGCCATCTTGGTGCTAATTAGAACGAAGACAGCCCTCTAGCTGCTACAGCCCCAACCAGGATGCCCTGCTGGCTAGAGGAGCATGAGCAGATATCAGCTCACACAGCCCTTCCCGCAGCACATGACCCATACGACTGAAGTGGTGGAGCAGAGGAATCACAAAAAGGACGTCCTGCTTTTGGAAATCCTGGAGTTGATGTGAGCCTCAAGCTGGCCCCAATGTTTCAAGGGGAACCAACCTATCAGCTAAGCGAGGGGCCCTTCACTGCATACACACGGTCCCTCTGTACGACTGTGGGCCAAACACTGCCGTGCTCTGACCTGTTGTGTCTCTCAGTGACACATACCCCTAATCAGTCCCGGATGTTAGAAGCCATCAGCAGGCCCTCTCTGCCAAGAAACTTTACTCAAAGATCTAAGTCACCTCACTTAGAAAGTGTGGGGAACCGTTAGCCTGTAAGAAACAGGCAGCCTCCCTCAGCCATACCCCCTCCCAAGCCTCTGAGACTCAAGAGAAAAAAACATAATCCAGGAGTAACGTTGGCAGTATTTCAAGCATTTAGTTTTGCTGTTCATTTTTAAGTGATTTGGTTAGATGAAATGTATACTGTACTTCAGATCAATTTTAAAGATGCTTTAAAAATATCTTAATGAGCAGAGTAACTTTGTGTGTTCATGTCAGCTGTTTTTTAACTTCACAAAAAAAGTCACTCTTTTGGGGTGACAAGTTCCAAAGGCTGATAAATTCAAACTCTGGAGAATCAGAACTGGAGATCTGTCACAAAAGAAATAATGCAGACTACTTCCATTTCAAATGCGAGGCATGTCAAGTTTAGATTTCTATAATAAAAGTATGCATCTGAGCATATACCACTTTAAAGATACATTATTGACTTAGTTTTGGGAACTATTTAGAGCTGCCTCCATGGTGGGCATACCAGTTGCCTAGTGGTTTACAGAGGCTCCAGTGGCCTCTATTGCTCCCTTAAGGTGTCAGTGCAGGAGTCATGTCATCTTCAGTGAGGGCAGAAGGAAACATCTGATCTGCAGAATTGAAGTGCAATTTGTTTTTGTCTCTTCTCCTCAGAATGTTGTTTCCAGAAAAGCAGCGCTTGGAAAGCACTGGCAGGCTGCTACAGCAGGCCGACATAGACCCCACACTACGGCCCAGCCAGCTCTCCATCGCACACTTCCGGAGCCTCTGCGAGGTGTACAGAAGGATGTGCGACATGGACCCATGCCTCTTTGCTTATAACTTCAGAGAGGAACTCAAGCAAAGTAAAAGCAAGCATCAGGACAAAGAGGATGGCAAGGAGGATTCCGGGCTCTAGCTGCTGCCCAGGGACCAGTAGGCTCCCGGGTGCTGATCTTCCCACGTGAAGCTGCCGACATGTGCACTGTTTTGTCTTTACGGAAAGGACAAAAAAATGCCAGTGACTAGATGTGACTTACTTTCCTTTTACTGTACAACTTGGTAGAGAAAATAAATATCAAATAGGATACAGTACAAGCTTTCTTTTAATATATATACTGCATAGATATGACATGTTTTATATAAACAGCATCTATGACAACCTTACAAAATGAAATATCTGCACATTTTGTCCCTAAACCACATTAAAATAACTTAAAAATGCTTTAAATAAAGCAAAAACTAACAGTTCAAAGAAAATGCCCAGAGGATTGAATTAAAAATGAATGACCCTTTTAAAAGCTATTAATCACAAGTTCCCCAACTTTACTTTTTTTCCACATAATTTAAAATAATTAGAATGCAATTTTATTTTAAGGATTCTAAATCATTTTGATACCTGCTCAAAAGGGATACAAACTACGTAATTTACAGATTCTGACCAGCTTCATCTAATTTTCTGATCCACAATAAATTAAAATAACTTAAATCTTTACAATTATTTTGTGGGAAAACATATACTGCACAAAACCCAATAAGGAATAGTTGTTCTGCAATTTCCACTTTGCCACCAGTTTAAAAGTTAAATGAGCAATTTAACCCATGTCTGGAGTGAACTCTACTAGGACTTTCCATGGCTCTCTGTTTCGTAAAAACACTCCTCGTTGACGACAGATGTTAAACTCTGGACACTGAATTCTCGCTCTAGAACAGAATTTAGATCGATGTTGGCATTTTCAGATTGACTGTCGAGGGACTGGTGACGAATCTGTGCCTTGAGCAGAGTTCCTCGGTCCCGCTTGGTGCTGTTTGCTTTTCGTTTAATGGGGCAGAAATGGCCCCGGACCAGCTTGGGCTGCTCTCTGCCTTTCCGGCCCTCACCTGCCGCAGGGCCAGGCTGTTGCTCAGCCGGGGGCTGGACATCGGGGTCCTCGGAAATCCTCAGTCTCTGGAACTGAATTTCGATGTCTTTGGTAGGGCTGCCCCGTTTCAGAGTCTGCTGGTAGTCATCATCTTCATCGCTCAGAATGTCACTCTCTTTGATGAGACTGTCTGCAAAATCTGCCAGGCCGGAGTGTGGGTACTTCCCAGGTGGCGTGCTCTTGGAGTCCCGCCTGCTCTCAGCCATGGGGCAGCCGCTGCTCTGGGTGCCGCTGCTCAGGCTGCCCTCGTCCGAGTCCAGTGAGTTGCCCTTGCCGGGCTCACTGGTCCACTCACTGCTGGAGGAATTCTTGAGGACCTTTAAGGACCTGGATGACGCTGCAATAAGAAAAGCACATTTCTCTTAGGACTCAGAAACAGGTCACACAGTGGGTAATCTTTGCCTCATAGGTTGTAAGATTTAACATCTCAATTAAGATTTTGTTTTATGATCTGACTTCAATTACTAACTATCCTAGTTAGGCAAAAAACATAGGTACCACAATCATGAGCGTTTTTTACTTATGTTTATTTAAAGTGTAAGTTAGGAGATTCAGCATTTTTCTATTACTGGAGCTCAATTATTTAAACAGAACTGGAAACTAAGGACTAGGTGTTTTATTTTGCCAATGAGTAAATTGAAAAGTTAATTACTAATCTAGGCTCCTTTTTTCACTGAAGTACACTGTAATTTGATCATCAAAATTACACCATATTTCTCATCTTGTTTATTTCTCTGGCTTTGCAATTAAGAGTAGGAAAATGCTCTATATCTCTTATGAGAATGAACTCTGCTGGACTTTCTATTCAACTTTCTGAGGTTTGATATGGTTACTTAACATGTGTGTGTCAGTTCTTGGATTGAAAGGATAAAGGGAGTTTCAGTGTCAGTGTTTATGCAGACAATTGTTATTTTTTATAATAGCTTTATTTTTTCTTTCCAATTGGAATCAGCATATTATTTTTGCTGGCCAGTTGGACAGTGGAGAAAAATAGAAAGTATACAGTACATCTGAACAGTTCAAACTGATTTTTAAAAAAGAGAAGTACAGTTTGTAAGACTAGAAACAAGAACATAATGAAATAGTTAATACAGAAATAAGCTTCTGGAAGCTTAAGGTGAAATTTCAGAAATAGGCAGAAAGTTTAAGAACAGCGTGATTTGAAGTTTGATTGGGTAAGAACAAGTATACAGGTGCTCCTTGACATCACGATGGGTCACGTCCCAGTAAACCCATTGTAAGTTGAAAATATCGAAAGTGTAAAATGCATTTAAGACACCTACTGAACATCATAGCTGCTAAGCCCACCTTGGCAGTACACTTACCTTAGACTATGGTTGGGCAAAGTCATATAGCGCAAAGCGTAGGTGAAAGAGTTGAATTCTGTAATTTACTGATTATAGAAAGTGAAAAACAGAATGGTTTACATGTACTTGAAGTATGGTTTCTACTGAATGAGTATCATTTTTACACCATGGTAAAGTCGAAAAATCGGAAATTTAACCATCAGAAGTTGATATCATCTGTGCTAGGTTTCTTGATCTTAATTCATTAGGTCTTGACCTCCCAGATGCCTGACATTGTTCTGAGCACTGGGAATACTGCACTGAGTAAAACAAAGTCCTTGGACTCACATACATACATCATAGTGGAAGAAACAAAGGAGGTGGTAAGTCAGGACTGTGTTAGCTGGTGGTAAAACAAGGGATTCTGGTTTAGGAGTGGTTCTATTACATAAAAGAATGCCTGGGAGCAAGAGGTATGTTTAGGTCTCTTAAAAGGAAATAAAAATTGTATTGAAGTAAAAACAATAAATAAATTTTAAAAACAAAGTCCTGCTCATCTGCAGTGATGGCTCACAGCTGTATAACAATACATATATCCTTCTTGGGAAACTCACGATTTTTTCTTGAAAAAGCACAAAGCTAACAAAATTCTCACCTAATTTGGCTGAAACAGGAACGCGGTTCTTGAGAGGCACCAGGCGATCCTTACATGTTTTCTCCAGTGGTAATTCACACTTTATGTGACGCCTAAAGTTCTCCCTCAGAATAGAACGAATCACCTTGACAATGTTGGTCTTGCTGTCACTGTCACTGGAGGAGGAGAAAACAGCAGAAGCATCCAGAGTGTTCATCGTGCTTCTATCCCATGCCCTCAGTGCTCCTAGGGTGTGCTGCCTTCCTCTTTCTAGGCCAGACTGCCAGCCAGCCTCTGTGTCTTGGTTTTTTCACTAACAATAGGTGGTGAGAATTGATCATTCTGAGATTTGGATACATGTTTAAGTAACGTAGTCTATACTAGAGAGCAGTTGTCTTTTGGTGTGGGAGAGGGAAGATTGGATATGACCCTGGTATTATCAAAATTCAGGAGAGGACTAAACATTAACTACCCTTTTTTGAGTCGGGGTCGGTCTCTATTGCTGAGACTGGAGTGCAGTGGCACGAGCACAGCTCATCACAGCCTTGATCACAGCCCTGACCTCCTGAGTTCAAGTGATCCTCACGCTTCGGCCTCTCGAGTAGCTGGACTACGGGTGTGCCACCATGCCCAGCTAATTTTTTGTAGAGATGATATCTCACTATGTTGCCCAGGCTGGCCTCCAACTCCCGGACTCAAGCAATCTTCCCACCTCTGCCTCCCAAAGTGCTGGGATGAGGGATGAGCATGAGCCACTGTGCCCAGCCATAAACTCCCATGATTAAGAGGTATAACTGCCTTATTTCTGTTGGTCTTAATTTGGGGGCAGTAATACCTGCAGCACAATTGAAAGATGGTTTCTGGACGTCCTTCTATTTCTGACTTCGTATGTATCAACTCCCATATGGAATTATTTTCTGTCCCTGTGTAAAAGGAAGTGGAAACAAGCATCTACAACTGTGCCAAAATTGCTGTGGTTAACACTACTTGTGAAGTTTAAAACTCATGATTTAAACAGTCGCACATTCCCAGTCCTGACCCTGGTCATTTTCTGTGGCTCATACTACGTATGATTTTCACAAACAGCTACCAAAAGTGAAATGCTGTCTGGCGACTTCTCACATTTCATACTGAAGATGTTCATCCACCTGAACCCACTTCCTCCCCTCAGCTTCCCCGTGGACTCGTGCCCACTCCTTGGGAGGAGCATCAGGGTGTGCTGGGGCCCTCAGGTGAAGGAGGCCAGCCCCACGTGCAGCCATGTCCTAGGAAACCAAAGGTCACTGTGCACCTTGGCCTGCCGGCCCTTTTATCACCAGAGGCACTGTCACCAAAACAAGGTTATCTGGAAAGATCTCAACATTTTCCTGTGTCAAAGATGTTTTTTCTCTTTATGTCACTCTCAGTAAGACCTAATCTTAAGAATGTCCTGGTGTATTCTAAATTTGTAAAAATTTAAATTTGTGGATCTTTGTTTCTTAGGATATTAGGCAGAAAGAAAAACGTTGAAAACTACAGGTAGGGAAAATAAGGAAACAATGAAGAGAGGCATTTTAGCTTTTCCCAAACTTGTAAAGATACATCAAAACCACCTCTCTTGTCCTCATTTTCCCTGCCTAGAAAATGAAAGACCCCAGAAGTCATCCCAAGGTCCTTTCCTGCTCTTTCCTTCCGCAGTTCAAATAAGCCCCCCTAACGCTTTTCTGGCCTTGTACTGCCCAAGGTTACCTGCCGGGTTCCCCAGTCTGACTTGGAGTGCGGAGATGGGGATCAGCCAGCGGAATTTAAATGGGTCCAGGTCGGCAGCGCTGTGTGCAGGCCGGGAGTTGGAAGGCTGTAGGGTGAAGGCCCACCAAAAAACGCATTAGGAAGGTGGGGAGGTGTGACGGGTACATGTGGCAGAAGGGGAAACTTGCGTTCTGTATGCCGGCCTGGCAGCCAGGTGGGTGTTCAGGGCACAGGAATGAATCAGAGATGCACCCCACTCTCAGAGACCTCACAGGCGGGGTGGGGGAGCCCACAGTCTGGCTGGAGAGCAGAGTTCCTAATCCCAAAGCTTTGGTTTGGGGTTTTTGAGTCAAGGTAAAAGGCATTTTAAAACAAACCAGTTTCACAGACTTCTCTGTATGGGAGAAATGTGGGCCATACTGACGGCTATAAAAGCGGGTTTTCTGTGGACGCCTCCACATGGGCATTGGTCTACATGGTCTTTTACAACAGCCTCTTTCCTGGGGAGTCTCAGTGCCCTGAGTACGTGATTTGGTTGGTTAACCTGGAATAAGTACTATCAGTCAATGAGGCCATGGTGCTTCGTGGACTTTTCAGCTCAGTATTAACAGGAAGAGACAGCCATGAAAAGAAAGCTTTAGTTAAAATTCTCATCTTACCATTTTCTTTTTCAGTTTGCAGTTTTCTTTGTAAACCAGTATGACAGCTCTCTTAAAAACTAAAGAAAGGAAAAGAGAAAGAAAAGTCTCTCATTATTTTATGCAAACTCTTCCAAGGTTAAACCAGAGCTAGATGTCTTAATAAAACAAATCTCTTCAAATTGATGGCTCTCGAAGATCCTGCCAGCATGACTGAGTGAATGGTGCTTCCCCTTCGTTTGTATTTGAAGAAGTCCCTACTTGTTTGAAAGCTAGTATCTGAAGGAGATGCTGGCTTTTTGAAATTCTTTTTGTCATTTTACTGAAAGACGAGGACATTGTGTTCCTCCCAGTGACAATACACTGTCACTTACTCTCCCAGCTCTCAGAATTAAGACATCTTGAAATGCAGCAGACTATTAAGATAGCAGGTTTCAAAATAGCCTTGGGATCTGTTCCTGTAACACTTGGCCCAGCCAGCAGCAGAAGGGAGAGCAAGATAATGAATATGCAAAGCGGTGGCGGTTTAAATAGGTGGCGGTTTAAATAGGCTGGCTGTGTTAAGTCCTCAGCCATTACCGCAAGCCTCACCCTTCTGGAACTGGGGAGCTAGCTGGATTGTGGGGGGATGGGGGGGCATGGGGCTGCTGGATTTTTCCTTGCTGCCAGCCTGTCTTAAGTTTACATTCTTTTGAACAGGATACTAACCAAACACTGTGAGCTCCAGGTCCTTTCTGGCTTTTCCTAGAGACAGAAATGGATTCAACCAGGAGACCGTAGAGTGCATCAGAAGCTCCCCCATCGAAAGTTCTGTTACCTGGATGGCAAGAACAGGAGATGAAGGCAATGCAGAGGCCCCGGGGGTGGACCGCCCCCTGTTGGACAGAGATCACACAGAGTTGTGGCCATTGCTAATGCACCGCATTCTGTTTGACTGTCATGGTCCCTTAAACGGCAGAGGTTTTGAAAATACGAGCTAAGCCTCAGACTGTCTGAGAAAGAACATACAGGTGAAGGCTTTTGCTTCGGTGCACACATGTGGTCCAAGTGCTTCATCACCTTCAGGCCCTAGTACCATCAGTACCTCTGGTCATCAGCACTGGCCGTGGTGAAAACCTCAACTCAGATCTTTTCGGTTCTTGCCATTTTCTATTTAAACTATGTCGCTGCCTGTTTGTAGGCTTTAAAAGCACGAGATTCTAAACTCAGCAATCAGAAAAAATAAATAAATAAATGTCAAGTCCCACTTGGACTATTTTCATAAGCAAAGCAGATAACCTCCAATATTTGATGTTACGAAAGGAAAAATTCAAACAGAAGCGTCCCACATACTCGCCGCATGCCAGTTCCTTTCTCCATCCACCCCATGCCAGCCCAGCCCTCCGAGCATCTCCTGCCCCTGGGTTTTGTCACCTCATGCCCCACAGGAAAGGAGGAAGGGGCAGGGACAGGACTTCTTTCTTGTTTTCTTTTGTACAATGTGAACATGACATAAAGTCACATTTTAAGCCAACATAATGAACTTTATGTTACATTTATATGTAAATTGCATGGTATATCAATCACATTATTGTCAAGAAAATCTTAGGCATGTTCTCCTCCAAGGAACATGCCAACAGGGCAGCCTATTCTGGAAGGTCACCTCAGACCCTGGAAACTCAGCCTGAGGCACCCAGAGCCCAGCCACCTTACACACCTCCTTCTCTGTACCACTCTGCTCTGCCACCAGCTGGTCAAACACGGTCCCATAGTCCTCATAGATCTTCTGCATCTCGTTGATGTGGCTCGCTACTTTCTCCATTGCCTTCAGTGCTTCTGCAAAACAGGAAGCCGTGTGTATTTCATAATTGTTGGTGAAGTCCTCTCCGACAGCAGGAATGAGGGGACTCAAGATTCAGGCCAGGACTGACTCACTAACAGTGGCACTGCTCGGGTGCAGCTCACAGCAGTCCGCTGTACCCAGCCATCGTCACGAAAACAGTACAATCACCTGCCACCTCAGATTCTTTTTGAAATGAGGTCACGTGTAAGTGAAAAGTATCACTAATCCCAGCAGCTAACACAGAATACTTTCTACTTGGCATGTACCATGACAGGTGATTTATGTAAATCTCGCTTAATTCCCACAAAGTGCCAGTCACTACTCGCATTTTACAGATTAGAAAATTGAGGTGCAGGTATTCCGCCGGAGTTCAAGAGAGAGAACACTGGAATAGAGCCAGAATGCAAATCCAAGACTGGCTGGTCTTAGGACAGCAACTCTTAAACTTACCTCTTCTAGGGATTGGGATCAAAGTTTAAATAGAATATATGATGCCTCTGTAAATGACTGACTGACGGAACAGTTATTTGCATTTGTACATGGTATTTGTTTATAACTTTCTATGAGGGCACATATAAGGGACAAAGTGATTTTGTCAAAATCAAAAAGCAAAATTTCAGATGACCTCCAAATTCAGTATTTTTCATACTCTGCTGTCCTGATTTAGTGTCTTAATTTAATCTGGAGGGCAGTTTGGAAGGGCTTTTTGTTAAGTAGCAGAACCCTTCTAAAGGTCATTTTAATGCAAAATGAAGTTTTTATACAGTATGAATGCTTTGTTTTGTGGAATTTAACTGGCATATTAAAAAAATTATTTCTCCTTGTTACTTATGATGGCAAAGTATGCTTGTCACAGAGAGAGAGCCAGCTGAATAAACTTTATGACTCAGTAATACTAACGTGTGTCCATAAGTCTGTTTCTCTCCCCAGGAGCTGTATTACCTATGGTCTAATTTCGAGAACAAATCACTATTTCTCGCTAGTCCAAATAAGGCATCTCTTTAAGGATACTCTGTTCACTATCAGACTGCACACGAGTGTCAATTTAAAGGGTGATCCCTCTTCGGAAGTTTGGTTTCAGAGCCAGCTCTGCTCAGAGATGCCCACAAGGTGGAGCCTGACCCAGCAAATCTGCTGACAACACTCAGGCAGCAGACAGCACAGACCTTCCCAAAGCAGCAAGAAAACACGCCTGATCTCCAGTTCTGGCAACATGGCTTACTCGCCAAGCGGCCTGAGGTGATTTGCTTCTCTTAAAAATGAAAACAGAAGCATCCCTCCAGAAGAATCTGGGGCTGCTCCAATGAGATGATTTTTACCATGGTATTTTATTGACTCTAAAGGCATGGCCATGTACCTTGCTGTTTTCACATATTAAATCTAAGGTGGCCAATCACAGAACTGAAAAATGATGAGAACACACCCCTGAACGGGGGAAGCAGACACTCTCAGGCCCCGAGCCCTGCAGCCTCACCTGTCAGGTGGTAGTGCTCCTCACTCTCATGGTCCGTCAGGGACACGAGCTCCTTGAGCAGCAGGGGGTACTTGAGCACCCTCTGGACCGGCTTGATGAGGTAGGACTCCAGCGTGGAGGAGTGCTGCTTGGTGGGGTTCCGGGCGTCCAGAAAGGCCTTGAAGGCTTTGTCGGTTTTAGCTACGAGCAGACAGATAAAAGACGCTGAGACAAGCACACAGGGATGAATTACAGTCTTCATTTCTCTTTTAGCAGCCATAGACTGTGCACTTCTGTAGTCCTCTAATGCCATTTTTAAATAAAAACCCAAACACGTGAGAGGGAGAGGGTCTGGCACCAGCTGCCAGCATGGGCTTCAGCATCGCAGCTCTGACAAAGCCCTCGAGCGACGGGGCTCACTAGGTAGGAACGCAGCCTCGCGCTAAGAGGAGACCGATCAGCAGGCAGAAGTGTCCGACTTAGGGACACGCTTCATGCATACCCATGAGTGGCGCTGTCAGAGGCGGCCAAAAATGAGTCTCGAACAATTCATAAACAGCCATAAAACAAAGTAATCCAGGCCCCTACACCTCCCCACAAGTCTCCCGTAGAAAAATAAACCCGTGGCTTTCCTACTGGCCTAGCACTGGTGTTGCTTATTCTTACTCTGTACACTTAAGGGATAATTAAAAACTGTCTTTTTTCCTGTAAAAGACATTGCTAGGCACACAGCCTGCAGCCTTCACTTCTGAGGCTCTGAGCAGACTCGACCCTCTCGTACCCAGAGCCACAGCTCCCTTCCACCAGGTGTGACATCGAGTCCTCTCTGGCAGTGGAGACTGCCCCAATGTGCTATGGAGGGTGCGTGCCAGAATCTAGGCATGTTTAGTCCAGTGTCAGTAGGTCCACCACCTGCTACTCTGATCCCACCTGCTGGCAGTGGTTGAAGCTATCTGGAATGCGGCTGATTAGAAGGAAGATATTCCCTTATTTGGGGTTCTGTTAGAAGGGCAAAGCCAACAGCCTTTAGGAGACGCAGTGCCATTCTCAATGCGATCGCCAGACCAAGTGGATGGCAGGATGACGCTTCACTGTGACCCAAGAGAGACTGAGCAAGCTTTGCTATGCTTTCGCCTTCTACAGACTGCCAGTAAGAAGGTGCTTGGGAGAGGGAATGCCAATGAAATCAGATCCTTATCCAAAGCAACAAGGGAAGATGGATGTTGGCTGGATCTTATAAGCTTGAAGCACCACCCCAAAGCCCCATTTTTTTAAACATGGGGCTTTTCTTCAGGGATACTGTGAAGTTCCAGATCTAACCCAAATGGCAAAGCCACATCAGTGGAAGAGGAGTTACATTGTGAGTGTCAGGATAAAGCTCCACATGACCTCCATGACAGTGCAGGAGGGCAGTCCCTGGGAAATGTGACGTTTTCTCAGTTCACCAAAGAGAACACACTTCTTGTGAGTTTGGTGGTGGTGGTTTGTGGTAGTTTATTGCTCCTCAGGCTTAAGAAGATCAACGAGAAAACAAAACAAGACAAAACATGGCATGTGTTTCCTTCTACCCCCACCTAGGGCTGTGGCTGCAAGTTTTAGAGAAAGGAATTTGGCAAGAGAAATAATCCAGATGAGATTTAACAGCGAAGGGACGTGGCAAAGCAACACCTTGGCTCTGAGGCACGCCTCTTCCCTGCTACCAGTACATTGAAATAAACAGAAACCGTCCCCGTGGATATCTGCCACTTTCAAGGTCAAGAATGGAATGGACTATATCAAAGTTGTACTTACCCCTACTTGTTAACTATAAATTTTCCCTTGATTAACAGTTAAAGATACAAAAAGCGTAACTCTAAAAGGTATGAGCAACTTACCTCGCTCCAGAACCTTCTGTACTTTGATATGGTTAGCACAGAATCCGCTGTACAGTTTAAAGTGGTCCGCGTAATACAGGAAAGAGCCCCCGAGGGAAAACAATAATTTCTAGAAGGAGAGGGGTAATGTCAGATCAGACATGATTCAGTCGGTGTGTGCTGGCTCACGGTCTAGCTTTTGGCGGCTCCATGGCTTTTATCAGACGCCACAGCAATAACTCAGAGTAGCTCAGGTCTGCTCTGTCCATACAGGAGGTGGGGCAGCCCCAGCACTCCCTGGCAGATCTTTAGCTAGGAATGAACAGGCTGGCAGCAGAGCCTACTGGCATGGTGTGCAACCAAACAACAAGAAATTTCTATAAAAATACAACTGGGCCCTGTGTGGTAGCTCACTCCAGCAATCCCAGTATTTTGGGAGGCTGAGACAAGACAGGAGGATCACCTGAAGCTAGGAGTTTGAGGCCTGCCTGAGCAACACAGAAAGACCCTATCTCTACAAAAAAAAAAAAAAATCTGGGTATAGTGGCACAACCTGTAAGCCCAGCTACTCGGGAGGCTGAGACAGGAGGACTGTTTGAGCCCAGGAGTTTGAAGTTGCAGTGAGCTATGATTGTGCAACTGTACTCCAGCCTGGGCAGCAGAATGAGACACTTAAAAAGAAAGTATGACAAGGTGGGATATAAATGGTCAGAGAATTTAATTAGTAAAGCTCACTCTCAGTTATTGGGTCAAACCATGCTGCCCGTATAGTTCCGGGTCCCCTAGCTACTGCCTTCTGGCCTTGTCTTCCCCAGAGGGGCTTCCTGCCAGTCACTGCAGCTTCCAGGGATGCTGTGGGCATTGATGCTTCTAGAAAGAGGCCTTGGTCACAGCGAGGGGAACCCACACTTCATCCCAACTGCACACGGATGAAGGTGAAGGATCAGACGCAGGCTAGGCGTTCTGTCCTTCAGGACAGCGAGTGCAGAGCACGTGCATGGCCATGGCCAGGCTGCTGGAGCTACCAAGTTCTGATGACAGATGCATTAATGCTAGGAAAAAAATGTCACCACTTTTTGCCACCTGCCAGAGGAAGACAGTGACATGAAAACACTAACGTTACCTTGGTAGTAGTCAAGGGACAACACATTCTCTTTCGAGAGAGAAGTTTGCACCATCTCCAATTTTGCTTCAATCTCTTCCATTTTGCTTGAAGCCTAAATCTCAAATACTTACTCTAAACTGCGAGGGGGTTTCCAGAATGTTAAAGTCAGATGATGCTGAAATCCCATCCTCCAGAGTCTCCAGAAACACCTTTTGAAACTCAAGCATCTCCGGCAAACTTCCAAAAAGTGACTCCATCTATGTGAAGATCAGGATTTGACAAGAGGGTGTTAGCCATGAAGAGTGGTGGCTCACTCAGTCAGGCCCACAAATACATCACAAGGGAGCTGTTCATCGAGAAGGACACAGAAGTAAATCCTTGAAGAAGACCGCAGGTGCATTGTGGGATATGGCTTACACACAGAACGTTTTACGGCGCTAACCACCATGATTCTATTTCTCTAGAATAACTTTTGAAGTACATGTAAAATTCTCAGAACTCAAATTGGGACAAATGGAAGGCAGTAGAAAAGACCTAATTATGTGTGTTAACATTAAGAATTTATGTATTAAGGCCGGGCGTGGTGGCTCAAGCCTATAATCCCAGCGGGTTCAAGACCCGCCTGGGCAACTTGGCGAGACCTCATCTCTACAATAAATCAAAAATTAGCCGGGCGAGGTAGCGCGTGCCTGTAGTTCCAGCTACTTGGAAGGCGGAGGCGGAAGGATCGCCGGAGCCCAGCAGGTCGAGGCTGCGGTGGCCAGGAGCGGCCACTGCACTCCAGTCTGGGCGACAGAGTGAGACTCCAACTCAAAAAGATAAAAATGAATAAATAAATAAATATTTACACATTAAAAAGGAATATTTCGTCACACCTTCTTCTACTGCTACAAAAAGAACATGACTGTCCCTTTGCCTTTCGAAACTCTTTGCCGCTGTCATGCAGCAGAACCCACATCAGTGGCTTAGGAGCCACAGTGGAACTCTCTGAGGCCTATTAAGTGCTGGATGTTCTTTGGGATCAGTAGATATACTCTTCTAAGAGGCCCGCTAAGATAGAGGCCAGCGGAGACCAACTTGCATGTCAGTGGGCAGAGAAAAGTGATTATCATTTACCTCATCTTGGGTAAGAAAAGTCTCATTCTGAAGTGGCTCCAAGTATAACTCAAAGAGGCAGCTCAGGTCCTGAAAGACAGAAGAACTTCTCTAACACTTAGGTCTCCAAAACACCCACGAGATTCCAGCCACCCTGGCTGCAGCTCTGAGACTCCCATTAGGAATAAGGAAATTTACGTACTGTTGAAATGCTTGACCCTGAAAGTGGTTATTACTAGTCACCTGATTCAAAGAAGCTAACACCACAATATGGTCAACAGCTGGCCTCTGCATCCTTCTATATAGCCTGGTCACTTACTCTGCTCAGTTAAGTGTCCTGGTGACAGAAACAGACTCTTGAGGCCCCCACGGCAGGAGCCTGTGCTCCCCTGCAGAGGAAGGTGGGCCGCCCGGCACTGCTGTCAGGTGTGCCCCCAGCGCCTGGCTTCCTCCCCTGCATCAGGGACACAGTGCCAGTGCCAGCATGGAGCTGGAAGGGACAAGACACGATCTGGGGTTCTTCAACTTTGGGGTTGACCCTCCAGCAGAATTTCAGACTCCCGTATTCGAACGCAAGAAACAACTTCCAAAGAGCAGCAGCTGTAATATTTAAACTCTGAGTCATATCTGGGCCCCTGTAAATTAGACTCCGGCAGAATAGGAGAGTGAGAGGTGGCTTCATTTACAAAACCCACTACATAAAAATCCCTCTAACTTATTAATGTGAAGCCAAAACCAGGATAGAATTTAGTGATAGGAGAGATTTTTCTTTTGTGTTTCATTTACTCTAAAGAATATTGAATCCTAAGATACTAGAATATAGTAGACTACAGTGTCAACTACAATGATGCCCTCATTTTACAGGAGGAAATTCTAAGACCAGGAGAGCTCTGTAAAGCCCAACGCGCCCCTAGAACCTTCTGGTGTCACATCTGAGAGTAAAGTCAGGCCTGTGACACTGATGGTGTCTCAGTAAAATCCTCCCTGGCCCTCCCTCCCTCACCGTGTGCCACAGTGAACCGCTCGGGGCAGGGAGATGTGAGAAGCCACTGCATCACGTCACTGCCACACAAAGGTGAAAATCCCAAGGAGCATGCAGGGTTCCGGTTAAAGGACGAAATGTAAAATTCCGTGTTAAATGTCAGCAACAAAGAAATTTTAAAATGGTGCATGTGAGTGTGAATCACAAGGGGCGCCAGGTACTGGTTATTTGTCAGAGACAGTGGTGGGTCCGGCAGCCATTGTGCGTCCAGGCTGCCGCTGCTCGGGACTCACAGCCAGGGCAGGTCCGCGCCGGGTTAGGTGGCAAGAGCTGCAGCGCTGGGGCCTAAGAAGACACAGTGCGGGCTTCTTGCAGAGAGAAGGAAGAGTCATCCTTGTCCACGTCACCTGCAGTGCCATCTCAGCGCCCTACCACCGTGTCAAGGGAGTGGCCCTCCAGGCGCAGTGTGGCCTAGTGGGAAACTATACCACCACCACTAACGAAAAGGGACCTAGATTCTACTCTTGACTCTGTGGAGCTCTGAGACTCTTCTCTAGATGTGGGAAGGCTTCTCTGAAGCCTCAGAAACCCCCTAGAACGCCTTGGAAGAAGGTCCTTGGGCACTGCAGGATTACTCAGAACTTCCTGGTTGTTCTCCCATCTCCCCACATTGGATGCAAGACAAGACAATGGAAAATGACATTAAACTGGCATCCCTCCAACTTTTCTTTCTTCCCTCTGGGACCAAAAGAGAGATTTAGGGAAGCTCTCTGGGTAATGTCCAGGTGACCCAATGGTGACCTGAATGACAGGGGAAGCTCAGGTCTTGTGGAGAAGGAAGGGGACAGCCATGGGTGGGGACCAAGCCTCAATTCGTGGACTCTGCATGCCAGAGCCAGAAGGCCCTTAGAGAACAAGGGGACAACTGTCTCACACCCTGGTGAAGGTGCTGATGGGGATCATCACGGCTACGCAGCCCAGCACGCTGTACCATGCCGCTTTGGTAACTGGCAAGTGACGTGAGCTTGAGATGGTTCTAGAGCTCCAGCAGGTATTTGAAGCAAAAGAGCTCTGCCTTCCCAGGCTCCTGGATTCCTCACAAAAGTTCTCCAGCCACTGACTGGGGGCTTATGATATACAGAAGTGAATCCTTCGGGTTCTCAAGATACTCGGCAACCACACCTTCATAACGGTGTGAGGACATTCCCATGTGGTGACCGACATGCCTACGCATGGCTCTGTTCAGCATGATGACACCACGGGCTGGCCCAGGGACTGCCTGGGTTCTGGGGCCTATGTCAGCAGATGCTGTGTACAGATCGCTCCCAAGTCCTCATCACCTAACATTACTCTGTCCCTTTTACTAAACCAATACAGACTCCTTCCCACGATTGCAAATGATAAGCCAGAACATCTGTTTCCATAGTGAAAGCTACCTTGGTAACAACATGAGCCAAGCATCTGACTTGTTCCGAGTCCTCTCAGCTCTTCCACACTCTCAGCCCTCCCCACCTCCCTGGCCTGCAGGAGTTCACTGCCTCAAGAAGCAGGCCTCCGGGCAGAGGTGACCCAGAGGCCCCCAGGAGACAATGCCCAGCCCTTCCCGCTACCTTCACATAGGACTTCTCGGTGTCCACGAGCTCCTGGATGACTTTTCGGAGGCGGTCTGCATCAGAGAGGTGGCGGGCCAGAGGCCTCGGAGGTGGGTCCTGGCCCTCCCGTGGTCCGTCCATGCCGCTGGTCTGGGTGTCGTTGAAACTCCTGCACAGAGCAGCGATCTGCTCAGCACTCTGGGAGGACAAGAGGTAGGAAATGGTGCATGGGCCCACCTAGGACACCATGACACCGAGGCCCACTGAGGAGCCCAGGACACCAGAGCCCAGCGAGGAGCCCAGGGTCTCCATCTGTCCTGGCACAGACCTCAGAGGGGCACGCGTCTCAGGCAGACGACTCCATTCATTTCACACCACGCTGGCTATCATACAAGATTCCCATGGGGAGGCTGTGCGCCCACATACACATTCAGCATTTACACATGAGGCCTCCTGTTGTCTAACTGTTGCTGTATGCGTCCTTAATGCTGACGCTAGAGTCAAGGCAAGGGATTAACCCTCCGTAGTCAAGTCGAGGCTGCTTTGAAGTCACAATGCCATGGCTTTCTAACGAGAAGGCCAGAGAGGCCTCGGAGGCCACCCGGCCCCCAGTGGCTGGCCTAACCTGGCTTCTGCCTCCATACAAAACAGCCCAGAGAGCCTCAGCCATGGTGTGACCCAAGAGCCATTTTAGGACAGCTTGGCCACAGTGGGTCCGGCGTCTTGCCCTCACGTCTAACTGTTCAGCTCTGCGGTCCTGTGCCAAGTAGCAGTTACAAGTGGAAAAGTCTTGAGCCGCTGCTTGTGCCAGGAATGGAGGAAGAGAGAGATGAGAGAGACAAGATCGCTGCCCTAACGAGGTACAGCGCCCGGCAGAGGGCACAGGCAAGCAGCAGAAGTCACCACACAGCCTGGCAAGGGAGAGCCGAGGGTGAGATAGCTCCTAAAGCCTCCAGAGTGAGGCTGAGCCGGTCTCATCAGGGAGTAGCCACGGCCAGACCTAGGGACACTCGTTCCAGTCCATGGGAGCAGATTCACACAGACTAAGAGGCAGCAAGGGCAGGAACATCAGGGGCACTGCCAACTCTCAGGCAAGTGCCCCCTGGACAAGCACAGGTGCTGACACTTTCTCCAGCAGAGCCTATCCACATACTCCCACTTTCGGGTGGGTTAGGGCCTCAATGGCATCTCCCCCAGACGCTTCCACCTCTGCTGGGGCAGCATCAGGTGAACCTCTGTGGCCTTCCACGTCTCGCTGTCTCCATGCCGCCCACACACACCTCCAGCCCCCCTCACCACCTCCCCGCCTGTAAGCCTGGTGAGCGCAGGGGTCGTGTCTTTGTTGGCCTGGCCCCAAGTCTCCAGCTTGGTGGCTGGTACAGAGCTCTCAGCTCACCGGTGCTGTGAAGTCACTACTGAACACCAAGCAGCAGGGCAGCACACACATCAAGCACCCATCAGCGCCTAGCAACTTGCAAACTCTAAAATCTCTCTTCAGCTCTATCGCCGTCTGTCCATGACCTCTATCTGTCTCTGTCTCGAGTAAGAAGCTGAACTAGCCAGAAGCATCTCTCTGTACACACTCAGTTCATTTCTTTGCTTGGATATTTTGGAACACAAACAACTTGCACAAGCGTGCTGGGCAACCTTAGCGGCCTGACTCATGCTGTCTGTCCCCTGACACACTGAAGTGCCTTTAAGAAAAAAAGTGCCCGACTTGCTTTTATTCCTAACCGTGAACATAGCACGGTTCTGGGAATGCCTGTCAGAAGATGTTCGTTTCTAGGTAAAACATCAAAGAATGAGAAAACAAACGTGGATCTTAAGGTATCAGTCAGAAAACAACCTGATCTGTCCCAATGTCTCATATCATGTTGATAACAACCAGATGTCATGGTTCATTACTGAAGAAGCTCCAGCACTGTTCAGTCCTGCCCTGGGGGTGTCTTGGCCACTAGAACAGTGTGCCCCGTGACAGCCTTCCTTCTCCCTGGGACATGGGCATCAGAAGGGAACACTGAGGCGAATCGCCAGGCCACTCCAGAAGTCAGCCCCCACTCCTCCCCCAGGAACTGCAACCCTGCCACACATTAGTCTTATGTGGGAGCTTTGAAAAGTACCCATGTCCAGGGCGACTGGGTCTGAATCCCTGAGCCCCCTCCTGGGTGGTATCTGGAAGCTCCCCCATGATGCTGAACTGTGGTCTGCATGAGAACCACCAGTCTACCTGCCAGTGCAGCTGGCATCCTGCTTGGATTTCCTGGGAGTAGTGCTGGCTCCCGCGGGACCACCCTGTCCCCAGGGTCTATACCAAGGGATGGCCACATAAGAGTATGTGATCTGGCCTTCTACTAACTGAGCTCATGGTCATATTACTCAGACTCCAAAGCTCACTCATTTGAAATCTATCCTGGGATCTGTACTACAAGCTCAGACAGTGTGATTCTGCAGTTCTGAAAACTAACAATTTCCAGGGCTGTAGAGTCCACATTGAACTCGCATATACTGTATAAAATAAGATCTGATAAAATGCATCATAAGTTAAATAGCATCTGGTGAGATTACAGCTTTGCCTTGCTGGGATGTCAAAAATCACACCTAACAGTGCAGTGTTAGAATAACGAAACTTTAAAAATAAAGTATCTTGCCATTTCAGAAAATCATTATTCATCTTAAGAACTCTTCTGGTAAGATTAATTTCCAGAAAGTGGATGTTAGCTGAGATTTTTTTCATAGCAGATCTACTTTTTAAGATACCACAATTAAGTACTCCAGTGCTACAAAGCTATCTTCAAACATTCTACAGTCTGGCTGTTGTTTAGGGGAATTTGTGAGGATTACTCAGGATTAGAAGGAAGCAGGGCCCCTAAGAGAAGAGAAACTGTAAACGTGTGGGGTTTTTTTTGGTTTATTATTTGTTTTTTGAGTTGGAGTCTCACTCTGTCGCCCAGGTTGGAGTGCAGTGGCACACTCACGGCCACCCCAGCATCGACCTGCTGGGCTCCGGCAATCCTTCTACCTCAGCCTTCCTGGTTTTTTAATTGTATCTGATAGAGTCACTTGGTGGTCACATTTCAGTTCATCCACTGTGACTGACGGTTATAGTCAGCAGAGCAGCCTTCTGGGTAAACAAATACTCTCCAGGGACAGCAATGACCTGGACCAGGACATTTTCACATGTGTGCAGTGCTGAGGTGAGGCTCAGAAGACCTGAGTTCCAGTCATCCTGCATTTCTGGGCAAGTCTCACTCCAAGTCTTATATCCTCACCAATGAAGAGGCAGCAGGGCTGCCTGTCCCATCATATAACCCCACAAATTGCCATATGGGTCAAAGAAAAAGGGAATTTGTAGCTATCTGCTAAGCACCTGCCTTAGGCAGACACACCTGGGAGGTTTCCTCACATCTCGTCTCTATGGTGATCTGCCAAGACCTTCAGCTGACCTGCATGGCCCAGGGCCCCATCCCCTCTCTAGCTGTCCACACAGCATGGGTCACTCCCAGGTACTGGGCCGAGCAGGCTTACTTCTCCCGCTGCCTCCGCCTTCCAGGAGGCTGTGCTCCTAGCCCCAGGTATTCAAGGAGGCAGCCACTGGCCCCAGATACACCACTACAGCTCAGAACGGTGAGTGGCTCCCAGGCATAGGCAGACAACTAGCCGACCCTACCCCACCGCCCAGGAATGCCACTTTAAAAGTCAAACACCCACGATCACAAGTCAGGGCGGGGCAGGTGAGGATTCTGGAGCCCAGCAGTGTGTGCACATGCGGAGTTAAACACTGGCACTTGGAACAGGGGACCTCAGGTGGGGTTTTCCAGGTGTGGCAATCAACACCAAGAACCTGGGCTCACCGGGTACAGTGGCTCATGCCTATAATCCCAGCACTTTGGGAGGCCCAGGTGAAAGGATTGCCTGAGCCCAGGGGTTCCAGACCAGCCTGGGCAACTTGGCGAGACCTCATCTCCATACTAAATTTAAAAATTAGCCAGGTGTGGTGGCACGCTCCTGCAGTTCCAGCTACTTGGAAGGCTAAGTGGAAGAATCACCTGAGTCCAATAGGTCAAGGCTGTGGTGGCCATAAGTGAGCCACTGCATTCCAGCCTGAGGGACAGAGTGAGACTCTGACTCAAAGTAAAAAGAACTCACAGTAAAAAGAACTGGGCTCATTGTGGACCTTGTCTTCCATGAGGGCACAAAGCAAATGTTTTCTTGGAGAATTCACTGAAAGATTAAATTAAAATGTTTTTTCATAAAACTATGCTGTCTGGAAAATCAGGGATATTGATTCAAAAAAAATTTCTTTCAGGTTTTTAAGGTTATACTATGGTTGATCCCTGCTTGAAAATGATTTTATCAGCTGGACGCGGTAGCTCATGCCTGTAATCCCAGCACTTTGGTAGGTGGAGGCAAGAGGATTGCCTGTGCCCACAGGTTCGAGACCAGCCTGGGCAACGTGGCAAGACCTCATCTCTACAACAAATAAATCAAAAAATTAGCCGGGTATGGTGGTGCATGCCTGTAGTCCTAGCTACTTAGAAGGCTCAGATGGAAGGATCTCCTGAGCCTAGAGGTGAAAGCTGCGATGGTTGTGAGTGTGTCACTGCACTCCAGCCTGGGCGAAACAGTGAGACTTTGACTAAAAAAAAAAAGATTTTATTTACAGATGAGGAACAGCCCATTCAGGAGCTCTGGATTTCGACTGGCATCTAAACAGAGTATTTCTCATTTTAATATAAATGTCCAAGAAGCCACAGAGCCATTTCTTGGAGGTGGTGATAAAACTTCTTAGGGTGACCAAGCACCTTATCCAGACCCTCCCTAGAGGGAGGCAGGGGCAAGGTCTCTCTCAAAGCAAGCTCTGAGTTACTCGGATGACCCTGCCAACTGGATGCAGTGCCACGCTTGTCATGGGAACATCACGACAGCCTCTCTTGACTGGGGTTTGTAAACTGTCCCCTTGATTACTAAAACTTTGATATTTACTTTTCTCTTATTTAGAGACATCCCTGTCCGAGGCTTCTCAATTTCCCTGTTGGAACTTTAAAAGATGACCACGGGACAGGTGGAGCCGATCATCCAGGACTACTTTGAGGCTGTGGCTGAGATTTCGTAGCTACTCCACGGAGCACGCGATCAGGAGTCCCACCACGTCAGAAGCTGCTGTGCGCCCGCCCACCCCTCCCAGCTCTATGTGCCAC